TTTTCACATTCCTCGAAGAACCTGTAGAGGTATTAAATACAAAATTATATGTAATATTTATATAAGATTTGTGGTTGACTTTTTAAATTTTATATTCGCAGGTTCAGTTATCATTGTTAACAGCAACTGTAAAGCTTTTCCTTAAAAGACCTACTGCGGGTCAAGAACTAATTCCTAAAGTTTTAAAATGGGCAACAGAGGATGTTGATAATCCGGATTTACGTGATCGAGGATATATTTATTGGCGCTTATTATCAACAGATCCTGCCACAGCTAAGGTGACATTCCTCGAATTTTATTATTAGATATATCACAAAACGGCGTTTTCACTCAAAATGTATTAATAATTTACAGACTGTTGTATTATCTGATAAACCGCGAATTTCTACCGAAAGTGATAACATGGAACCTGCATTATTGGAAGAGCTTCTATTACATATTTCTAGCCTTTCATCTATATATCATAAATCACCACAAACTTTCATTCCAAATAGCAAAACTCGACACTTAACCCATTCACCGGTTCTAAATCGAAGGTATCTTGGACAGCAACAACAACCTAATTTACTCGATTCTGATATTGATAATTTAGCTTCAGGGTATGTCATTCATTATAAATTGCATTGATAGCAAAATAAACGTTATTAATTAAGTAATTATTTTACAGATCTCTTGGAATTAAGTCTAATCCTTATAATGTTGACGTTGTCAATATTGGTGAAAATTATGTTGGGGACCTATTATTAGATTTGTGATAATTTTATTTTTTTTCAATTTAAATAATTTAATTTGTACAATCTATACTATGTCCAAAATTACTGATAAATAATTGATAAAGAATGTATTTCCTTAGAAGAAATTTTATTTAATGTAAATAAATTTCTAAATTTATTAGATATTAAGCTTTTCTATTAAGAATATAAAATTTCTAATATAATTTTAAATAACTGCATTACCCGACCATTATCCGACCTTTTTTGAGGGTAATAATAGTCTAATTACGGTAAGTGCACACTATAAATACATGCTCTATACAAATTCTTCTAAA